AGAATACAAGAAAAAAAAAAAATAACAAAAAGAACGGAACGCACTACTAATAAACTGGCACACAAATCTGAGACGCAAAATATATAAGAAAAAAAAAAGAAAGAGAACGGGCTTTAAAGTTAAGCGGGGCTTCGGCGAAAAACGGGTATATATCGCGACGGCTCGCTTGCTTCTCCCATCCGTAATCTTCTTCCCCGGTTCGCGGTATTCCCCCACCCCGAGGATTTCGGCGTCGAGGATGGGCCATCCCACTACGACGTCTGGTGGCCAGGTCCTGGGGCCCTCTCGAGGTGGCAGTTGAGGGTGGCTTGTCCCCAGGCCTGGCGTTTCCCGGTGGTCGGCTGCCGGTCGCCCCCGCGGAGGATGACGGGGTGGCGCCGCGACCGGACAGCCGGTGCTCCTTCGGTGGACCCATCCCGCGCCTCCGTCGCTCAGGGAGAGGTTCCTCCGCGACCGGGGACGACGACGGCTCCTTCGGTGCTGGTTGGAGGCAGCAAAAAAAAAAAAGGGGGGAAAAGGGTGGCGTCCGAAATAAATAGAAAATAAAAAAAACACACGAAAAAGAAAAGAAAAATTTCCTTGGTGGACCCATCCCGCGCCTCCGTCGCTCAGGGAGAGGTTCCTCCGCGACCGGGGACAACGGTGGCTCCTTCTTAGGAGGATATAAAAAAAAAATAAAAGGGAAAGGCACGCGATTGACAATCAACGAAAAACACACACGCACGCTCACTCATTCTTGCCCCAGCGGCGAGGGGATCCGCTTGGGCGGAGGAGTGGGGCTGGCAATTCGGGAGGATCCTCGTAACGAGGCATAACCCAAAAAAAAAGGCTAATCAAAATAATGAAAATATGCCTCGTTACAGTGTAAAGCATAAATGCTCTTTGCACCAAGAACATCGAATTATTACCACATTTTCACAATAATCACACTTCATAGTACTTAACTTTGTGAAGCAGAATTCTACAGGATTCTCGAATTCTTGTGGGCGATTTTCGGTGTATCCACAACGATACCATGCATATTGAAACAAACTTTTGTAACGTGGAGCCTGCAGTTGTCTGTGAATTAGTCCTTGCATTTTGAGTATATTGTCCCTTGCATATAAGTTTATATTTATATTTAATGAAATAACAAGGTCGGAGATTTTTCGGGCGAAACTCTTCCAAATACGAAATCCATACACATCAAGGGGCTGCACTATCGGTGTCGTATTTTTCGGTATTTTTAATACTTTTAACTGTTTATCTTCCGGTGTTGCGCTTTGCATTATGTCTTCACTATATCCACTCCATGAATCAAGAAGTAAAATTGTATTGTTTGGTGTATGTGGAAGAAAGACTTCTTTTAACCATACTTTAAATAATTCTGTAGTTAACTTGCCTGATGTCGAAGCTTGTATGTAAACATTAGGTGGCGTAAATACAGTTTGTCGTACACGGGGTCCTAACTGTCCACTAGCTTCTTTTAAAACAATGAAAAGGGGTGATAATAGTTGTCCGTCAGCTAAAATCGTCGGCTGAATCGTATAGCTGTGCGTAGTCGCCGATACCGATTGCACAAGAACTGCAGTTTCCTTTTCGCCCTTTTGTGATAGTGTTCTCCCAGAGTGCATCTCTAATTGAAAACCACTCTGGTCTGTGTTGAAAATATTCTTTTCTCCGTGTGTTTCAAAATAACATTTTACATTAGATACAAAATTTTCCGCTGCTGCATTTATTTCATTTAAATTATTGCTATAATGCCGAGTAATGAGTTTAGTTGTTTTCCTAGATACTATATTGTATTTATGTTTGAAATTGTGTAGCCAAAATGTGGATGCTTGAAATCCCTCTAATTGTAAATTTTCTTTTTGATTTTCTATTACTGCCCATCGTCTCAAATCCATATCATGTATAATAATTTTGTTTTGTCTGGCTTCAATGAATTTTTGCAGTGTAGCGTTTGCTATTGTTTTCAGTTTATCGAAACGAGACCCACCTTTCTTAATTTGTTCTTCCCACTCGTAAAGCTGTCTCCGACTCTTCAACTTTTTATATCTGGTTTGAACAGTCCGGAAGCTCAATGCTCTCTTTGTTCCACGTTTCCAGAAACTTACAGCTTTCTTCTTATATTCTAGGTCCACAACTTCCGATTGCAAATTTTTGTCATTCGAATTGCTATCAGGGCTTGACGATGATACTTCCATTTTCGAGCTAGATGCTTGTTCAACGTCCTCTTCATTTTCAGAATCATACTCATGAGGCCTGTCAATATTTTTCAATATTTTTCCTTTCTATTAGTATCTTACGAATATTATTCTTTTATTGCTGCTAGTAGCATGGGTCCACTTTGTACAATCTTCTTTTCAGTATAAAAACTATAAATAACATTTTTTATAATATTTTGTGAAGAATGTGAGAATACTAAAATTTATATACATACTTATAAATAGTTTCTTCTTACTTGACGTTTATTTACTTCTTTTTCTTCACTCTTCAACTGCCAACAATAGTCCGCTAACATGGAAGCTACATCTTTTCCAAGTTAGCGTTTTTCTATAACACTAATGTCTTAATGAAATCGTTCATCATGCTCATCACTCACGTTTCCCAGATTTTTAGGAAAGAAGTCTAAATAAGAGTGTAAAAAATGCATTTTTAGTGACTTGTTATACCCCATTTCTTTACAGACGTGAAGCAATTGCTCAACAATTTGTACGTAATTTGTTGAACGGCGCAACCCAAGAAAATTTTTACAAGTGTTTTTAAACACTACCCACGCATTCTTTTCTAATGGTGACAAACGGTTTTCAAATTCTTCATCTTTAAATAAAGTGCGTATTTGTGGTCCTGTAAAAATGCCTTCCTAAATTTTTGCCTCCGACAAAGCTGGAAATTTTAATTTTAAATATGCAAAAATTGCTCCGTTTTTGCCCATGCCTTTTACGAAATTTTTCATAATTCCCAATTTAATATAAAGTGGCGGCAAATAAATATTTTGTTTATGTACTAATATTGTTTCGTTTTGAAAATTTGTCTCCAGCTTCGGTTGTTAACGTTTTTAATTTCTTCTTAGGCAATGTCCTTATGCTAGAAATATAAGGATCAGAAGATATCATGAGCCTCAGAAACAGATTTTCCATTATCTTTTCTCTTGAATATTTTCGCGAAAAATCCTCACAGAACCTTCTAATATATTTGTTTAACGCTTCTTGCGCATCCTCCGACATTTGATCTATAGGTAATAAAGCCGAAGCTATTGTTTCAGATCCATGAATTAAAACTTTATGCATTGTTGTTGGCATATAAGGGTACAACTCTACGAATTTTCGTGCAGTATCCACGGAATATTGATGGAATTTCGCAATATCTATTTTACACCCATTTGAAATATCTTGTAATATTGCATAAAATCGTTTGATTAGAGACTCATCAATGCCTGTTATCGAAGACGATATTGCGGAGTTCTCAAAAAAGCGACGAGCCGTATTACCATCATTTGTATTACCGAATCCAGACTTCGGACGATCAACAATCAAACCCAGCAGAACGCGAAAAACCTGTTGGATTAATTGTTTCCTAAACACTACTGTTTCCTTTTCGTTTTTACTGCCTGTTTGCCATTTGTTAATCACATGTCACATGTCATGCAGCCGCGTATGTATAATCAGAGAGAGTACGATGTACGTACCCCACTATGGGTCATGCGACCGCGTTTCGGGTCTTGCGACCGCTAATTTTTTTATGGAAATATTCCAGGGGTATGATAATTTACATACCTGATAATTAAACGATGTTGGGTTTCGTAGCAAAATATCACTGACTTTAAATAGAACTCAAGAAGGGAGAACCACTAGGGCGTAACGTACAAAAAAAACTGGCTCGCGTGCATCTCGCGTAGCTAGGCCTAGGTCCCTTTTCCCCCTCTCTTAGGCGTTGGCGTTGCATCGTCCAGGAAGTGGCGCTAATATATATTTTCTATGCGTTTATTTGAAGAAGCTCAGAAGCGGCTAGCACAGCCGTGCGGGTTTCAAATATTTCAGTTGTGGCGTATCGGTGGGGGAAACCCGAAGGAGGTTCCCTGGAGTGGGGGCAGTCAGGGAAAACGGCCCTTCACGTACCGATGCTCATACCCACGGCCGATTTATTTTACGGGGCGCCAGTGCCAATGCACACGTCCGCGGTAATCGCCGTTCCGGCTGCTCTGTCGGGAGCGAGAATCAGAGGGGGTCAGAAAAAAAAATGAGTAAAAGACCCGCGAGTTCGTATCCAACAGAAAGAGGTTTTATTCGGGCCCCAAAGCAGGCCACGTAAGCAAAATAGAAAAAACTAGAGTGGGCCCCACGCGTTATAAGCAACGGCCGAGGAGAAAGGATTGGGGGCACACGGAAAATCGAGTCGTTTCTCTTACACCAATGTGATGTGCGAAGAAGACGAGGCGATTTCTGAAATTTGACTTTAACGCTTGAATATTGCGAAAATGAAGTTTTGACGAGTACAGCGGCCATCGGTGGACTTCCTTACAGGCGGCTCTGGTCATTTTAGACAGTAATAAATACTCTGTACAGAATAAAGTCGAATTTTCGAAGGAGCATGAGTGAGACAGACGCTGATCTAGGCAAGCCAGATGGCCGTAAGCCGTGAAATATAGTTCAACGATTATTCGGTAGCAGCGCTCGTAGTATTTTTCGCCTATTTTGACATTTTTGGCCAAGTTACTGACAATGTGGATAAAAATATAAATTGGTCGATAACTACAACTTAGCCTTATAGACTGGGTATGCCATTGCGCATGGCATCGCGCATGTCACATAATTCAATGGTAAACTCTTGTACGTATTGCTAAAAATGTAAAACATGGTACGAAGAATTAAAAAATTGCTGCATGTACGTTTATTCAATTTTAATTTAGTAAACAATTCTGATTACAGAGAGAGAGAGAGAGAGACCTAAGATCAAAATAACAATGCATTTTTATTAAATTAAATCAAAATTTTTATTAAATTTATTAAATTAACATTTATTACAGTAAAAATTTATAATTGTTTGTTAGGTTAACTGTTTTTCGGCCGCGTCTGCCTCTTTTTCCACCGCGCCAGTCTCTGCGCCCGTCATCCCGCATGCTTCCCTGTCCGCGTCCGCCGCCGTGGCCACCGCGACCGCGCCCGCGGACGCGCACGCGGCCCCCACGGCCGCCATACAACAGTTTCTTTATCAGTTTTTTCAACTGAAACAGTAAAATTATAATTACACATTTTTATTTTCAAAAAAGTATCACCGACATGTAAATAATTAAATGAAACACACACACACACACACACTTCCAGGCAGAATTCGATATGTTGGTAATGATAAGATTCCACGAACATGTAATTTTTTCTTAATAAATACATCGTAATAAATAAACATCAAACGCTTGACTTACATTATCTGTTGGCGGCCTGTCGTTTGTACGTTTTTCAACTGCCGTCTCTCCCTCATTTTTTTGCATTTCTCGTCCTTTTTCTTTCTTTACTTCTTCATTTTCCCTCTGTTCAACGTTTGTATCTCCTGCGATAATCTCCATCTGCATATAAAACGATTTATTTATTTTTTTAACCTAATGTAATAATTAATTGCTATCATGTAATAGTATTATTTTCTTATATTCATAATGTTATACATACCTCATGTGACGCGTTTTCGGCCATGGCGAAGCTTGTAATGACGAACAAATGATTATCGCGATCGATGGCGAGTCCCGATCATCCACACACATACAAGGTGTCTCACAACTCGTGTAACTCCCGTAAAGGGATGGTAGAGGATGTAATTCTGAATAAGATTTCCCTTCGCAAAAATGGGGTTAAAAGCTTCGTTTTTGAATTATTAACGAAAAACAGGGAGCAATCAGAGCTTATCGTTCAACGAGAAGCTTTTGTTTGATTTAGCAGAAGCATCGAAAACAACCCGTAGCTTTGTTGTGGTACTTGTGTTTTTAATAACGGCATGATGAGGTAAATAATATCCGTCGTCGTTTTCGTCTGTGATTAACGACATGTGATTTAACTCTATATATTCATTCATGACCTTTTTATAATCTAAATCAAGCGCCGGGTTAGATTTTAATTTTCTTTCCAACGCGTGAAATCGACGAAGCGCGTGTGACCGTGAATCGCCAAAATTTCGATCGCGATCGCGGAACGGCAATCGCACTACGTATCGCCCTGATGGCTCACGCGTCGTAGTCTGAGCATAAAATGTTTCACATATGGACTCCTCCGCTAGTTTCGACTCTTTCGTGCTATTGTTGTCTTCTATCGTTCAGAATTTCGCAATTTCTTCGGTTAATTCGCTTAAATTGCACGTCACATTTCCTATTCCAAGAATTCCCTTCGCACCGCCCACTACAACCCAACCGAGTTGCGTTTTTTGCATCAAAATTTCGCAATCATCTTTCGATACATTTATTTGACCTATCGACAGTAAAGACGTTGTGGCACCGGCTCCTATTAACATATCGCTCTCGGCAGATGGAATTTTGGATCAGCTAAACGGATGTGCAAAGGGATGTTGAGCGATTCGCGAGGAAAAATTTCATTCGGTATACTGACGGCAACTTTCGTTACTGTCAAAAATGTTAATGTTTTCTCAAAATCGTTGTGTAGCGACCGAAAAGAGATGTCGAGCGTTTTTTTGGAAATTGCGGTCATCCCGCCCATCGCGCCGATCGGAATGCAGCATGATCGCATAGGCACATTTAAATTCTTTGCGAATTCCTCTGTTATAAAGTGCGCCGTTGCGCAAGTATCTCAAAGCGCACGAGCTCGTACAAATTCGTTCTTTGAATTTTTTACTCTAACAGTAGCGCTCATTATGCGACCGCGATGTACACGAGACGGTAGAAAACGAGATGATCGATAGTCACTTTTTATTGTGTCCCGGAATTTGTGCCTTACTCGAATCAAGAGGTACATTCGTCACGGAATCGTTATTTGTATTCGGTGCTTGGAATTTGAAGTTGTGTAGCATTGAATGATGAAATGAGCTGCAATGTTTGCAGTACATAGATTTACACACCCCTTCATGTAATCTAAGGCAATTACGGCACAATTTATTTTTCTTTACTACCTCCCATCGTTGCGCGATAGACAATGTCCCAAACGCCGGGCAGCTATACAAGCGGTGTGTCGACTGTTTGCATTGAATGCAATTATTGCCAGTAGAAGTGAGAAACGCTCGGGTTCCGAATTGTTCTTTACGGATCTTCATGGAACGCATATCAGTGTTTGAATTTGATCGCTTGAGACCGCTTTCGTTCCTTTTACGCGCCTGTTCTTGTTCGTGTGCAAGAATTTTGAACGCGGTTTCCGAAATAAATTTGAAAATTTGATCGAGGGAAGGCAAGGTGTCTGAATTAAAAGTATCTTCCCACTTGTCACGCGTCTCGCTCGGTAAAGCTCTCTCGATTATATGAACTACTAAATTCTCGTCGACTTGAACGTTTAATGTCTTTAACACTAGAAATACCGACGATTGACGTATACCTACTTCTACCGGAGGGGTCAAAATGACTTGTTTCTTAAATTACTAACAAGGAGACCTCACAGCAGTTGGGTCATCGATTTTAATATAGTTTTTTCTGGTGAATCTTAATGAAAAATAAGTTGACCCATATTCGGCCGTTTTTGTCAATACTCAATATTTAAAGAGATATTTAATATTTTAATTCTCTGATTTCCTTAAATGCTAAATTTGTAAAGTCATTTTCAACAGCTATGTTAGGGAAGCAGGTAAAGTCGTAGGATCATTGAACTACTCCATCGCGAGTTCAAATCCCGTCAGGGGGGCTAGTTCGTTTTTTCTCCAATTTTTTTTTGTTTCTGTTTTTTTTTGTATTTTTTTTTTTTTTGATTTTTTAAAATTCTGTTTTCATGTTTTTTGTTTTTAATTTATTATAATTTTTTTATATGTATTATTTACAATATACGGGATGGTATACATCGTAGAAACACGAAAAACATAAATGTTTTCGACAACGTGAGCATTTAATAAAAGCTAATGTATTGCAAGAGCATTTTGCTTTTCTTATACTATCGGGAAAACATACTTGGTTAACGTTTAACAAAACTGATCTATCGGATATTAATTTGGTCATATACCAAGCGTATTTAATCATATCTTTAAAAATAACCTCCCCCCCTAGGAAAAGTCAATTTTTATGGAGGAAAAATTGGCTTCCCTGGTATTTCTCGCATTCGCAGAGTTTGTTGGGGCTTTTGGGACTTCATTTCACTTGAGTCTGTATGTCTCTTTTAAGGAGGGGTAAAGGGGAGCACTTGTCACTTATTTTACACTGGGAATTTGGTACGACGATAGCTTCTTCTGGCCGTATATTTCAGGGTGCCCTCTCCGCCAGTTGCTGATCCTGGCTGTTCGAGCAGTCGAAGCTGATCCTGGCTGTTCGGGCAGTTGGGGTGGCTGTTGTTTGCTGCTAGTTTTCCACGGCCAACAAATTCGTCTAATGTCTATTCCCTGCATGCGCCGGCCTGGCTTCTTACTGGGTTGTTTGCCTATGGTCTTCCCTGGTGGTGGGAAGAAGTGGTCCCTCCGAAAACAGACCTTTCAGGGTGCCATCTCCGCCAGTTGCTGATCCTGGCTGTTCGGGCAGTTGGGGTGGCTGTTGTTTGCTGCTAGTTTTCCACGGCCAACAAATTCGTCTAATGTCTATTCCCTGCATGCGCCGGCCTGGCTTCTTACTGGGTTGTTTGCCTCTGGTCTTCCCTGGTGGTGGGAAGAAGTGGTCCCTCCGGAAACAGACTTCTTCATGGCCACTAACCTGGCAGTAGCTGCAGAAAGGTTCTCTATGTGTCTCGTTGTTGACCTCGCTCACCGGTTCGAGGTTTGACATGCGGCGGATGCTTAGTAGAGATAGCCAAGGAGTGGTTATTTGAAACGGGCTCGGTGGCTGGTCCCTGGGGTGCATTCCTTTTGTTCGGTTCTGGATTTCCATGAGGGCCATTTCCTTGATGAGTGCTGTCGTTTCTGCACCATGGGTCCAACTTGGTTCGTTGCGGCCGTCAAATTCGTCTGCCACGTTGAATAATTCCCAGAGGCTGAATGCGTTTGGCTTGGTCCATCCCGGGGGTGTGTATTCGTCCCAAAGCCAGTCTAGCCTCTCCCTGTTGTATCTTCTTTCTTCTCGGGTATTCCTAATGCACTGGGTGCATTGTAGGTAGAACCCTTTTGGTATGAGTGCCCTGGCTAGTAGACATTCTTGTTCTGAGTGATTCCAATTTGCCCGCTTTGGGAAGGTAGGCTGCAGTATACTGTGTTTTCCCATTGTCGATATCGTCACAAGTAAGAGTATGAGAAATACTGCTATGTTACGTACGTACTGTCCGGTACTCGAGTGTCGAGGTTCTGTTCCGCTCGCGTTTATATTGCCAGATTTTGTTATGGTTTTAAGTGGGGGTGTCTTGACTGAGGGTGTTTTGTTTATGATATGGACTCCCATCGTGGTTGCCCCTTCAAACAGTCTTAAGCCATCCGTTCGCACCGCTCTCATCTTTCCATTCACGCTTATCTTAATAATATCGCTTGTTAGCACTTCGACAACCTCGTAGGGGCCGACGTGTTTCCTTTCGCGTCCCGGTGTGCTTATAACTACTACGCGATCGCCTATTTTAAAGCCGGGTGTGCGCGCCTGATTGTTCCGATATTGACGGGCTCTTGCCTGTGCCTTTGTCAAGTTTTCCCGTGCGCTGCTAGTTTTCCACGGCCAACAAATTCGTCTAATGTCTATTCCCTGCATGCGCCGGCCTGGCTTCTTACTGGGTTGTTTGCCTCTGGTCTTCCCTGGTGGTGGGAAGAAGTGGTCCCTCCGGAAACAGACTTCTTCATGGCCACTAACCTGGCAGTAGCTGCAGAAAGGTTCTCTATGTGTCTCGTTGTTGACCTCGCTCACCGGTTCGAGGTTTGACATGCGGCGGATGCTTAGTAGAGATAGCCAAGGAGTGGTTATTTGAAACGGGCTCGGTGGCTGGTCCCTGGGGTGCATTCCTTTTGTTCGGTTCTGGATTTCCATGAGGGCCATTTCCTTGATGAGTGCTGTCGTTTCTGCACCATGGGTCCAACTTGGTTCGTTGCGGCCGTCAAATTCGTCTGCCACGTTGAATAATTCCCAGAGGCTGAATGCGTTTGGCTTGGTCCATCCCGGGGGTGTGTATTCGTCCCAAAGCCAGTCTAGCCTCTCCCTGTTGTATCTTCTTTCTTCTCGGGTATTCCTAATGCACTGGGTGCATTGTAGGTAGAACCCTTTTGGTATGAGTGCCCTGGCTAGTAGACATTCTTGTTCTGAGTGATTCCAATTTGCCCGCTTTGGGAAGGTAGGCTGCAGTATACTGTGTTTTCCCATTGTCGATATCGTCACAAGTAAGAGTATGAGAAATACTGCTATGTTACGTACGTACTGTCCGGTACTCGAGTGTCGAGGTTCTGTTCCGCTCGCGTTTATATTGCCAGATTTTGTTATGGTTTTAAGTGGGGGTGTCTTGACTGAGGGTGTTTTGTTTATGATATGGACTCCCATCGTGGTTGCCCCTTCAAACAGTCTTAAGCCATCCGTTCGCACCGCTCTCATCTTTCCATTCACGCTTATCTTAATAATATCGCTTGTTAGCACTTCGACAACCTCGTAGGGGCCGACGTGTTTCCTTTCGCGTCCCGGTGTGCTTATAACTACTACGCGATCGCCTATTTTAAAACCGGGTGTGCGCGCCTGATTGTTCCGATATTGAGAGGCTCTTGTCCGTGCCTTTGTCAAGTTTTCCCGTGTGCCTACTATCGCGTGGGAAATCTTTGCGTCTAAGTCCTTTAGAAATTCATCGTATGCCCTATCTGTGGTCATCGTTAGGGTTTCACATGCCGCGGGGGCCCGAGCAGGTTTCCCATAACCAACTCATGCGGAGAGTATTGGGTTTCTTCATGAACACTAGTATTGAAACCGAACATCGCTAAGTTCAGCCATTCGTCCCAGTTTTCTTTTTGCAAATATGGCTTTAGATACTCCGTTAGCAACAGGTGCGATTGTTCAACAGGTCCGTTCCCTTGAGGGAGGAAAATGGTGGTTTGGAAGTGGGCTATCTTGAATCTCCTCGCGACTGCTTTTACCAGTGCGTTGGTAAAGTTTGTACTTTGGTCGGTAAGAATTGCTTTGGGTGCTCCGAAACGACAAATGAAATAATTCACGAACGCGTCGGCTGTTTCGGCTGCTGACGTTTTCCGGAGAGGGATAGCAAGTGAATACTTCGTGAGTAGATCTTGAATAATCAGGATGTGCCTATTCCCTATATCTGTGCAAGGGAGAGGACCAATGGTATCAAAGGAGACCTTGTCGAAGGCCTTACCCGCCGTGTCTGTTAGTGTTAGTGCCTGTCGGTTTCCCCTTCGCGTTAGTTTTCGCAACTGACAACTTGCACACGTATTCAGTAACATCCGGATGTCGTTTCTTAGCGTCGGCCAATAATATTTCCCTTTGATTTCGCGGTACGTTTCTTCAAATCCCCTGTGTTCTCTGGAGGACGAAACGTGACTTTCGGTTAGTAGCTCCTGTCGCCTGTCTTGCGCGGGTATACGGATCTCGTGCGAACATGCAAATATCGTCGTTCCCGTTCCCTCGAACAAATTTGCAATTGCTTGTGCCGTATAGGTCCAAGGGACTGCTGCAAAATTCGTACGCGATATACTGATAGAAGATAATTTTAATTCGTTTGAAACGTTATTCTGTGTCGCTTTTAATGTTACGGGTAATAAGATGATGTTACACGCGGCTCTCCTGACAACACGGGGGATCGTGCATTCCAGATCGTTGGGTATTTGGAGTTTGTTCTCGTTTATCAGGTCTATGCTTCCCTGGTCCAGCAGGTGTTGGTCTACCGTAACGAATACTGCTAAGTTATCCCGTCTCATAATCAATCGATCCCGGATGTTTACTATCGTCAGCGTTGCCTGTCGAATATGATTATCGTCGTCGTCGTCGCTCGGGTCGGACGTGTCGGTGTTTGTTTCGTCGGTCTCGTTATCTACAGTCGGCGCAGGTGGTCGAGATGGCGTCTGTTCTCCCATATCGGGTGTTGGCGGGTCGGAGTGGATGGGAAGGACTGGTGCCGGGTTTCGTGATAATGCATCGGCGTTAACATTATACTTCCCTGCTTTGTATATCACCTTGTAATCGTACTCGTCCAGTTTTAACCGCCAGCGAAGGAGTCTCGATGTGGGATCCTTCACCGACGTCATCCATACCAATGTTCTATGGTCGGTAATTAGATCGAATTTCCTCCCGTATACGTAAGGCCTGAAATGTCGAACCGCGTAGACAATTGCTAGACA